GGCCAAGCTTCCCATGCCTCTCCTGCAGAGCGAGGCTGGAGCAGAGTTGATCCTGCCTGGAGCATCTTTTGCGGGGACACGTGAATCTGTGTTCCAATGCGTGGAGATGGTTATTGCAAAGCCACTTTATTTCTGGTGTTGTTATTGGCAGGGGAGTGGGAGTGCAATACAATTTTAGCCACCCTGATGTCTCTGTGTCCCTTACATCCCACCTCCATTCTAGAGCAGCTTTTTCCTCACATTACACGATCCTTTCAACTGTACAAAAGGGACTTTTTGCACCTGAAATGTTAAAAAACGAGCTGGTCCTACAGAGCAGGGTCAGGAGTGGGCAGCCCTGGGAGAGTTGGTGCCTCTGTGTCCCCACCACAATCACCAGCCCTGGTTGCAGCAGAAGCAGGATTTCCCTGCATATGGCAGGAGCAGGGGATGCCCAGGATCGGTGTGAGGCTCAGTGGGGATGGACTCGCCCATGGAGAAGGATGCCACTCACACCAGGAGCTGCAGGAGCCCAGAGCAGAGCAGAGCAGGAACAGCCCAGCCAGCGGCACCTTTTTGTTCATTTAAAAACATCCCATTGAAGATCAGGGTGACTCTCCAGAGCTCCTGAGTCAGAGACCACCCCTCAGGTAAACTCCACTTCCCAAAGCTCACCCAAACCTCTCCCACCTCCCACTGGCACTATCCCCTGGATCACATAAACACACACAGAGAACACTTTTGTCTCTTCCTGTCCTTTTCAGATATTTTGGGTATTTGTGGCAATCTCTCCTGTTTATATAACAAAGCCACAGCCCAGTGTTTGTGACACCATATCCATGGAAACCCTAATATAGCATGCACAGGCGAGGAGATCTCATTAGGTGCCTCAGCTGCGGCAGCACTGGGGAGGGAATTTCTCTGGGACGCTCTGCTCACCCAGCCTGGAGCACCTGGCAGGGCACTACCTCCTTCCAAACAGCACATAGTGCTTTCCTCTGGGTAATTTTGGTCTTCCTCCTGCTGTCCCATCACCAGCTGACCGTGGCTTAGCCCAGACACCCACCCTTGGCTCTGCAGATCTGTGGGTGAAGGCTGGAGCAGAGGAGAGGCAGAAGGGATGGAGCTTCTCAGTCAGGGCAGTGCTGTCCTCACCTTCAGTGCCAGAGCAGGAGCAGAGACTGAGCTGTAAAGAGCTGCTCAGGTCCAGTTCTGTCCCTAATTTGGGGTGAGTGGCTCAGTGGGGAGGTCTGGGGCTGGTTCCTCTTTGGATGTGATCCTCATGGGGAGTGAGGCAAAAGTTTTCTTCCATGGTGCAAAACAAAGAAAATCTGGTCCTGAGGAAGGCAAAACAGGCTGGGAGAAAGCAAGAAACTGGAACAAGCAGAGGCTGGACTGGGGGATGCTACAGCATTTGGGCTGTAAGGCACAAACTCAGGGCAAGGAGGAAGGAAAGGCTCTTCCCACCCATTCCTGCTGGATCAGAGTCACCTCCAAGGGTCCAGGGCCATCCCTACCCATCCCTGTTGGATCAGAGTCACCTCCAAGGGTCCAGGACCATTCCTACCCATCCCTGCTGGATCAGTCACCTCCAAGGGTCCTGTCCTGGCTGGCACGTGGCACATCTGTGAGTTAAAACAGCCCAGGTTCCCTGCAAAACCTCACAGCTCGCTGTGGCCCAGGTGACACAAGGACACTAAAGCTACTTTAGAGAGGGCAGACACTCAGCTGTACCCCTGCTGGACAACTGAAACTCAGATTGGCAGCCCCAGTGCCCTCCTGGTGCACAAAAACCCAATGAGCAGCCTGCAGATCCCTTCTAATTCATTATGGGAACAGGACTGGGCAAAGGGATCCTTTGGGAAGGATGATAAACAATCCTCCCCACCTTGGGGCGTGATGGAACAGATCCTGTGAGACGTGGGGCTGCTCCAGGGCCCTGATCTGCTGGCTGAGAGCTGGATTTGCCCAGGGGAATGGCCCACATTGACCCCTGCAAGGTCACCAAAAGGTGAGCATCCCTCTGTGGGCCAGCCCAGCTCTCCCCTGCTCACCCACGGCTCCAGCCTGAGTCAGACACTGCCAAACCTCATCAGCACCCGGGCAAATTCCATCCTGGGGCTGGACAGGGCTGTGGATAGCAGAGCCCCCGGGGCACGGGAGCAGACAGAAACCTTCCCCCCCTCTCCTCCCCTCCCTGCCCTTGCCCAAATTGAATTTCCATTTCTGTTAGCGAGGCAATGGATTATAGCTCGGAGGGCTGCTGCCTGTTTCAGCCCCTAATTCGGAGCATCAATTGCGTTTAAACTCCTCACCTGTAGGGCAGCCTTTGTTCCAGCCCTCGCTGCTCCCCACTCCCTGCCGCTCCCAGGCCTCTGGAAACCACCACTGGCCACCAGCTTTGTGTGGAGATGGAAAATCATGGCATTTTGTCACCAGGAGGGTTTGGGTGTGTGGCCCTGCAGAGCTGAGCTCAGCAACACCGGGTGCTGTCAGGGCATTCAGCATCCAGCCCAAACCAGCCCTGCCCTGGTGTTCCTGGGCACCTTTTCTGCTTTTCTGCCTGCAGAGGGGCACGGAAAGTCCCATCTGCCGGCATCCCCTTCCTCAGGAGCTCCCACAGGGGCATGAAGCAGCTGCTCTGCCCTGGAGGAAAGGGCAGGACCCAGGGCTGCCACCCCACAGCCCTCCCGTGGGATGCTGCTCCCAAAAGGTCCGAGTTTCCAAGTCAGGAAACCCTGCCATTTATACATCTCCTTAAGTCTTAAAATAAACACACCAGCAATGAGTGGAAAGCTGGATCCTCACTCCTTGCCTGGATTTATGAGCCACGACTCAGGAAGGAGAAACTGAAGGGGAGGAGAGAGAGACATGTACATAATTTTTTCTTGCTCTCTCTTCAAATAAATTCCCAGCGCTTATCTGCAAAGTTCAGCTGTTTTCAAGCTGACCTGCCCATGTTCTGCTGTTCCACTGCAAATTCCTCCTGTACAGGAGAGCTCAGGAGCTCCACTTGCACACGCCAGCAACCTGGGGTTTCATCTCTGATAGAGGGAGGCAGAATTGTTGGCTGAGGAGCCCTCCTGCCCCCGGTGAGGATCGCTTTGCCTTCCTGCCGTGCTTGGCAGCTCAGCTCCTTCTCTTTACAATGAGGAAACGGAGCCAAGAGAGGAGGACATGTGGGTGAATTTGCTTGGAGGAGATCAGGGATAAGGAAGGACACAAATCTGCTCTATGGGGCTTTTGTAAGGCAGCCAGACTTGTGTGATGCTGGAGCAGCAGGGCTGGGGGATGAGGGACATCCACCTGATACCTTCAGTGTGGCCAGGAATGAGCCCAGGAGCCTCAGGGAAAGGGGGAAATGCTGCATCCTCCTTCAGGAAGGTGAAGAGAGCTGTGGAGGGGGTGAGGTGCAGATCCAGGAGCAGCTCCATGAACAGAACCCCGGAGATGCCGTGCTGGGAGCGTTCCCAGGCAGCTCCAGTCACCTCCTGCTATCCAGACGTGCTTTTGAGGCTTTTAAGCAGCAGTGGGAGGGCTGGTGTGGGATTGGGCTGTGCACTGGAGTCACTGGGGGAGGGATGGGGCTGAGGGAGCTCCTCTGGCAGAGCTCAGCTCTCCATCCTTCCCTGTGCCTGGTGGTGATAGTAAAAGGGTTTTAAAATCATGGGGATTTAGGGTTAAAAGGAAAATTAAGCTTAGTAGGCCCTGAAAACAAACAAAAAAATAAATACCCCAGATACATGAAGATCTTGTACCTTGCTAGAACTGCACCTGTGTAGCCAGTACATGTTAAATGATATAATTGTTAGATGTGATGATTGCTTAGGAATTAAATATAATTACTGTTTAATCGTAAGGATAATCATGAGAAATTGTGGTCAGGGGCCTAAGAAAGATCACGAGAAACTCATGTCAATGAATACAACAGAACAATATAAGTTTAATAATTAATATATAAGTATATAACGATAGAATATAAAATACGTTCAGCTCGAAAGCTGTGTTGGAGTCAGATTTGGGTCTGTACCCCTGATCCCAGAGCTGTCAATAAAAGCACCTGCAGATAATGATATTCTGTGATTCTGTGTGTCCCTGAGCACTGACAGTGGGGCTGAGTGAGAGAACAAACCCTGTGAGCAGCAGGTCACTGGCAAGGAGAGAGGGCCGGGATCAATGACACATCCCTGAGTAACGTGGTGTCTCAGGACAGTGAAAGCTCCTCGGGTTTAAGGTGGAGATGCTGGCATTGCTGACTCATGGAAACGCCGAGCTGAATCCATTTCCTCTCTTACACAGGGCTGGGGGACAGCACGAGGGGTGGCATTAATAAATAAAAAACCAGCTCGCAGGCTAACCCATCCTCTGTGTGTGTGTGTACATCAAAGAGCTCCAGGCAGTTCGTTATAATTCCAATTAACGTGGGAAAGTTAATAACTGAAAGAGAATCCATCAGATTTTAAACAAATGGGAAGTGGGAGGGGGAGAGACTAAAGGTGTCTTTAAACTGGAGCCAAGGTCTCAGCTGCTACAAAGAAATAATAAATATTGAATATATCCAATGGTCTAGGCAGGTGGGGGCTTTAGTGGGTACAAAGCAGGGTGGGAGAGGAGCTGGGCTTTGCTGGGTTTCAAAGGGACAGAATTAAATTCCACAAAGGCTAAAAAATGAGAGAAGAGGGGGGAGGAGACATCTCTTTTCTTGCTGTTTTGAGGAAATCAGCATTTTCTCTGGCATTGAGCTTTGCAGGGCAAATATTTCAAACCCTGTCAGTATTACTTAATGCCTGGGAGCTCAGGCAAGGCTCAGGGTCCTTTGCTCTCGTGTCTGGCCAGCTTTGGGGTGATCCCAGGCTGGGTTATGTGGACACCCAAGACAAAGGCACCACGAGCAGTGCAGAGCATGTCCACCAGGGCTCAGCCTGAGAGCAAACAGCCCTTCCCAGCCACTAAAGAAGATTTAAGAGCCAATCACATCAGCCCAGTCAAACCCAATTGCTATTGATAATGTCCATGTGCAATTAGAGCCAATTAAGGGCAGACAGCAGATGACAAGTGTTTGGCCAGGAGCTGACGGGGGTCAATACACCAGCCCAATTTCCCAACAAGTAAATGCAATTAAAGAGTGTCACTTATGGCTTGGCCAGCACATAAATGGGCACGGCCAGGTGCCGGGTGCCATCCTGGCAGGATGCAGAGCTCCAGGAGCAAGCCCTGCTCCTGCCCCAGCCTCAAGCTGCGGGAGGTGGCATCCATGTACTTCACCATGGTGGCAGCGTTCCTGGTCATCCTGGTGGTGGCCCTGCAGGGCTCGGCGCCCCGCCAGAGCGATTTCCCCTACAAGGTGCCCCTGGATCCCCAGGGGCTGCTGGAGCTCTCCTGGAATGTCAGCTACCCCGAGCAAGCCGTGCATTTCCAGCTGCTCATCCGGGAGCTGCACTTCGGGCTCCTCTTCGGGATGTCGGACAGGGGGGAGTTTGAGAACGCGGACCTGGCCGTGCTCTGGAGCGACGGGCACAACTCCTACTTTGGGGTGAGTCACCTGTCACATTGCATGGGTGTTTTTGGGGTTCCCTCCCTGTGAATGCAGCTCTCTGAATGCTGGTGGTTTGCTAGAGTGAGGTACAGATGAACCAGCCCCACCGCTCAGGGTGCAGAAAGTCTTGGTGGTTTCTACCCCACCAAGATCCACACAGTGGGTTTGGCACGGGGGTTAACCCAAAAAAAAGAATAAACACAGCAACACATCAGCAAGGCTGAGGGAGCCAGGAGCTGGGTGTCTCTGCTGTGTTTAGCTGCAAAGACACACACACAGAGGATGCATCAACATCCTGCTTCACTCGTGTGCTGCTGCCAGCACATTAAAAATTAACCACAGCTCCCATTAATGGCTCTGAGACAGGGCAGAAGTCACCAGGCACAGAGGCTGCTCCTGCCAGCAGGAAGAACCCGGCTGAGAGTTCATCCAGAGGGATCAACGGGATAACAGGGCAGCCTGGGGTGCTGTCAGAAATTAAAGGTGCAAATGTATTTGGGAAAACTGATTTCCAGTGGTGTTGTTTGCTGTTGCTGCTGGACACTCCGTCCTTCCTGCCACTGTCTGTTTTTGGGTTCCTGTCTGGGTGCTTTTCCCAGCCCTGGACTCTCCAGTCCTGTCCCCAGCCCACCACATCAGGCTGATTGCGATTGTGCTTGGCTGCAGAAACTAATTCCCATTTTTGCCCATGTGAGGCTTTCCAGTAAGTTAAATTTTACCTCTCTGCTTACTTCAAATTAACCATAAAACACATTCTTTCGCAATCAGCCGCAATGTGAGCCGCAGTGTAATGAAAGCATGAAAAGAAGGGTTTATTATCTGCGCTGTTTTCCTGCTAATTACCAGCCTTTCAGGGGCTGTGGTGGGCCAAATGCTCCAGGATTTCACAGCATCACGTTAAGAAAACATAAAGGAACATTTCTAATCTGCCTTCCTGCGCTCACCCAAAGACAAACAGAAACACGCGGCAGCGCTCGGGTTTTCTCTTTCACTCGGTGCTGAGCAGCATCCTGCAAGGAGATCTCTATAAATCTTTCCAGCCCTGCTTTTCTCCCTCCCAGCAGCTTTTTCTCTGCATAAGTGTGTCGGCTGTTAAAAAGATCCACATTTGTTCAGCGCCCCATGTACTATGAGATTAACTTGCACTCCATATTCCTACGGAAAGAAATGTCATGAGAGCTCCATGGAGCTGATTTCCCTCTCCCCCTCTAAGGACAATATGTTCTGGAAATATGACTCTATAGCTCTGGCTGAAATGATGCCAAGTTGCTTTATCCTTTTTCTTCTGGTTTTTCCTCCCAAGATAAGAGAACCAGTGCCACTTGTGTGCCTACAGCCAGCTACTTCCTGGGTGTCTTTTCTGAGTAAACAGGAGACCCACAAAAGATCAGAGAAACAACCCTGATCAAATCCAAATTATTGCAGGATTTTATACTCCAAACCTTCAAACCCTGAGGCACAGGAATACCCTGCTGCTTTGCTTCTTGGGGTGGCTTTGTCACCATCCTTTTTGTCACCAGTTTTTGGGAGGCCGTGCTGGGCTGCCAGAACAATCTGACCACAAAAAAATTAAGGATTTTGCAGAAGGGCAGCAAATTCTAGGGCTGACATTACAGCCCAGCAAGGGTCTGATCTTAAATTGAGGGAGGCTGGTTTGTGCCAAGGATTTTGGAGAGTCCAGCACCCCCTTCCACAGTGTCCCCCCAAGACAAACACACCCAAAATACAGCACAGACCAACCCAACACCTTCACATGTCCCTGGGGCTTTCCTCCCTCCCTTCCCAACCTTTCCCCACTCACATCTCAGCTTGTAAAGGTCTCTCTGCAGACTGTCAGTGCTGGGTCAGGTGTTTCCCAGGGCTGTCTGAGCACCAGGGATTCTGGTCATTCCAGCATGGATCTGCCCAGGGGATGCTGGAGGTGGGCATGAACTGAAGCACAGGCATCCTGCAGCTCTGGGATGCTGAGGGTGCACAGAAGGAGTGTGGGAATCCAGGGCTTCCCTCTGGCTGCCCTGGCAGGTCTGGGACCCTGGCAGGGGTCAGGAACCCCCCTGGACAGAGCCCCCAGAGACACTGGCTGTGATCTCTGTCCATGGAAAAGAGTTTTCAATCCTACAGGATGAATTACCAGCTCTGAGTGTTTGATATGAGTAATAATTAAGTGTGGCACGGGTGCAAAAGTAAAATTTTAGGATTCTAGATTAGGGGTCCAAAGGGGACAAGATGGAGGAAATTGGGTGTGTCTTGTCCTTTTTCTCCTTCTTCATGCCCTCCATGTTTCACTGTGGTGTTGGCATTTTTCTGTTGGTTCAGGCTGGGGACACACTGTCCAACGTAGGTGACAGATATTGGCACGTTATTGTAAATCCAGCACAGGTAGTTTGTGGTATTTAATGTTTGTACCATCCCACTGAGGGCAGAGCCCCACACGCTGCCCTGCAGGACAGAGCTGCGGCAGGGCAGCAGAACATGTTAGAGATAAACAGAATAAACAACCTTGAAACCAGCACAGACGAATTATGGCTTCTGCTTTGGTAGTTCGGCAGAAAGACAGAGACTTTCTGCAATTTTGGGATCATCAATAGCACAGATCCCGACAAAGGAGGAGCTGTGCTACCTCTGGAGGTACCTCCTGGCTGAGCAGGCTGCTCCCTCTCTCTCACAGGATGCCTGGAGCGACGCCAAGGGGCAGCTCCACATGGATTCCCAGCAGGACTACCAGCTCCTCGGGGCTCGCAGGGCTCCTGAGGGGCTCTACCTCCTCTTCAGAAGAGCCTTCAGCACCTGTGACCCCAAGGACTACCTGATAGAGGTATGGCATGGCCCTCACCCCGCCGTGGCACCCCCAGCCCCACCCTGCAGGGCTGTGCCTGTTTGGGCACAGCATCAGGTGTTGGTGCAGTGTGAGGCAGAGAGGAAGTGAGCTACAGATGTCAGCCCTGGCCCATGAGTAATGTTTGGCACCATCTATTCACAAACCCTTCAAAAGCTCTCTCAAGTGTAGCTTTTAGCTCGTTTGCATCATCAGCTCCTGTTGAACATGCATTGGGTCTATATAAATCCTTCCTGCATCACTCTGCTCGACAGCCTGCAGCCAACTGTTGGGAGTGTCACGAAGAGGGGTTGGTGTATCAACAGGAGGGTGGTGACAGGAGCTGGGACAAGGGGACAGCAAATAGAGGTGCTGCTCCGTGCTCCTGTGTGGCTCGGTGACGTCTCCCCGGCTCTGCATCCACCACTCCTCTCTGAGCTGGGATTTGGGGTAAACCTTCCCAGTGGGGGATGTCAGACAGCTCAGGAGCTCAGCTACAGGCCCTGGAATCGATGCAAGGCTCATCTCACATGAAAGCCTTTGTGGGCAGGATATTTTAGAGCCAACGTGGGCACAGAGTGTCCTCGAGCTTTTGCTGCTGGTGCTCCAAATCTTCTCTTGTGGTGAGAAGTGTCTGTCGTCTGCCAAAACACTGAGAGCCCTGGAGGGAACAATCTGTGTGTGTGAGCCATGAAAACACTTGCTGGGCTTTATTCTCTGATCCTTCAGGAAAAGCTTGTTCTCTTTTTCCTTTCTCCCTTATCTCCTGTCCAGACCTCTCAGCGTTCTTGTTTGCAATAGGCTTTCAGCAGAGCTTCTTGTGGTACCTTCTCCCTGAAAAGAAGCTGGAAGAAAAGGGAGGACTTCAGGGAGAAGTTTTGTTCCTGCTGTTACCCCCAGGCTATTGCTGGGCTGCAGGGGAGGATGAGCCCTGCACTGATGGGTTTGTCCAGCCTGGAGCTCATGAGGGGCTTGGAAGGAGCAAAGAGGAAGTGTCACCCTTTTGGAATGGATGGGGAACCTGCTAGGGAACCCTCAGTGACCACACCAGACAGAGAGCTTTCCTGGGACAGCACAGCTGAGAGAGCTGCTGGTGCAGTCAGGGTGGGGTCACAAGACCCATTTCTGGGTTCATGCCACCAGTGCTGGTGCTAATGACTCGTGCAGCTCCTGCTGTGCATGAAAAACCCACAGATCCATTCTGCTCTGGCTTCAGGATGGCACCGTGCACCTGATCTACGGCATCCTGGAGAAACCGGTGCGTTCCCTGCAGGCCATCAACATCTCTGCCCTCCACGGGGGGCTGCAGAGGGTGCAGCTGCTAAAACCCAACATCAGCATCCCTCAGCTGCCCAGAGACATGAAGACCATGGAGATAACAGCCCCAGATGTTGTCATTCCCAGCCAGGAGACGACCTACTGGTGTTACATGGCAGAACTCCCGGAGGGCTTCCCCAAGCACCACATTATCATGGTAAGGGGCAGGAGAAGAGGGCAGCTTTCCCCAGGGTGGGTCAGTAGCTGTGTTCACATCCTGCAAATTCCATGTCACAGGGACCCTTTCCAACCCTGGCATCCAAATGTGGTGCCAAAACCTCTTCCAGGTCCACCCCACCAGTCAGTAGCATCCTCTTGTCTCCTAGATTGTCTCAGCCAGAGGGGAACCAGGTAATGTTTTCCCACCTGGCACATCCAGCAGGTTCCAGAGCAGGTCAGAGCTGACTCCCTGCATTAGGAACAGACCCACAGCAGGATTTTGGCACACAGAGAGCCATGAGGAGCATAAAACCACAGGAAACAAAGGAAAGGACGGATGAGAGCAGGGCAGAGCCAGCCAGGATGGGAATGGCATCTAAAAGATGAGGCACAGTCTGAAAAAAAAGAGAGTTACAGACGTAAATGGAGCCTGTGGGCATTGCCAGACGTGTTGCTTGGGCCATCTCCTGCAAAGGAGAGGCAGAAACGTGTTGGCAGCCCCAGGAAGGGATGGGAGAGCACCCAGCAGCTGTGGGGGTGGCTCAGGAGGTGACCTGGCATGTCCAGAGTCAAAACCACAAGCAAGGGGAAGAGGAAAACCTTCAGACACTCGAGCTGCAGCGAGCGCTGGGTGATTTCGAGGGGAGAGACGGCGCTGCAAAGGAAGGCTCAGAAGGAGGATTTTCTCCCTGACAGATGGTGTGAAGTGAATCATCTGTGTGTAAGTAAGAAGTGTGTAACTCCTGATACCTTCCCGCTGCTGCAGATTGCTTCTACAGCTGGCACTTTTAGCCAGAGATGTTCCTCAGGCTTGAGTCACTGTCTCTACCCCAAATCCCCCTCCCCATGCCCCAAGCAGCTGCTGGACAGAAACAAAACCCAAGGGCTGCAGGCAGAGCTACAACAACACAGCCAGGACTCTCTGTAGGAAAATACAACATCCCCAGGGCCACCTTCACCCCTGGTAAGGGATTCAATCATCACAAAACAGACCAAGATCTTCTGCTGATCCCTGTCTCTTGCTGGAGAAAGGATGAGCTGGTTCTCTGTGGGTTCAGGTGGGTTCTGGGTTGGTCCCTAAGCCAGCTAAGAAATTAAATATTTCCACAACTGACCTAAATGCTCCTGGGGCACTAATAACATATTGTTTCCCCTGTGAAGTACTCTGCCATCAGCAAAATATGGGGTGAAAGCTCTTGGCCCTTAGTGCCTCATGCCCTGAGCAACCTTCCCTCCCCATCCTGTGGCAGAAACTGAGACTAGCTCACAGATATTCCTGCCCTGGCTCTTCAGGGAGCCTGCAGACCCAAAGGACGGGCTCTCAGTGTGTCCTCTCCTCCTTGGTCCTGCCTTGCAGTACGAGCCAGTGGTCACGGCGGGCAACGAGGCTCTTGTGCACCACATGGAGGTTTTCCAGTGTGCAGCCCACTTCGACAGCTTCCCCCTCTACAACGGGCCCTGCGACTCCAAGATGAAGCCAGAGAGACTCAACTACTGCAGGCACGTGCTGGCAGCCTGGGCCATGGGGGCACAGGTGGGTGTGACAGGGGACACGTCCCCCTGGGTGACAATGGCCTCCCAAACCTTCCCCGTGCCACTCTGGGGCTGCCCTCACCCTGTTCTCTGCTGGGGTTTGGCTTCAGCCCTGCCTGAGCTTCCCAGCCCCTCCTGGAATTCCTACTTCCCCCCAGCTCTCCTCCTCTTTGGTGCCATAAATCAGTGGGGTGGGACACTGGAACAGCTCCCCAGGGAATGGTCACGGCCCCAAGCCTGAGGGAGCTCAAGGAGGTTTTGGACAACACTCTCAGGCACTTGTGGGATTCCTGGGGCTGTCCTGTGCAAGGCCAGGAGATGGATTTTGATGATCCTTTCCAACTCAGGGATTCCTGGGGCTGTCCTGTGCAGGGCCAGGAGATGGATTTTGATGATCCTTTCCAACTCAGGGATTCCTGGGGCTGTCCTGTGCAGGGCTGGGAGCTGGATTTTGATGATACTTTTGTGGGTCTCTTCCAACTCAGGGATTCCTGGGGCTGTCCTGTGCAGGACCAGGAGTTGGATTTGGATGATTCTCATGAGTCCCTTCCATCTCAGGGATTCCTGGGGCTGTCCTGTCCTGGATTTTGATGATCCTTGTGGGTCCCTTCCAACTCAGGGTATTTTATGATTCTATGACAGAATTCAAGTGTTGTGCACGTGGAGTGAGAGAGGCTTTTGGAAGCAAGAGCAGCTCTCCAAGCACGACCACGGGCACAAGTCACGTCCCTCAGCCCATGGTGTGGGTCAGGATTACACCCACACATTCCCTTAGGCTTTCCAGCCTTGTTCCCAGGAAAGCCACTCCACTGCTCCCCTAACACCCTCCCTTCTGCTTCCAGGCTTTCTATTACCCTGAAGAAGCAGGTCTTGCCTTTGGTGGCCCAGGCTCCTCCAGATATTTGCGTCTGGAGATCCATTACCACAATCCCCTGGTGTTCACAGGTGAGGGGCTGCACCTTGCTTTACCTGTCAGACCATGGCAGGAGAGCTGGGGGAATTCCAGGGAAGGATTGCCACCTTCTGGGGAGGTCTCTGGCCTAAATCACGGCCCTGTTCCCAACCTTGTGGAGAGCTGATGGTCCAGATCTGCCCCTGCAGGAAGAATCCATTCAATCCCCACCATGCTGCTGCTTTTCTGGTCTCAGCAAAGTCATCCTCACTGAAGTGCATGCCCAGAGGTGGGGAGGGATGCTTGGGAAAGGAGCCTGCAGGCAGAAAATTGCCCTCACGGAGGTCCTGCAAGGATGCAACCCAGGGCAGCGCCAGGATCCAGCTGAGCTGTCTCAGGAGTGCCCCCAGTTTGCACACAAGGTGGTGGGGAGTGGCTTCATCAGCTCTATCAGCTGGTTATGTTGATTATAGATTCAGTGGGGCTGGGTCTGAGCTCAGAGCAAGAGTGACAGCAGTGCCAAGTCACCAGAGAGACCAGGCTGCCTGGGGAGGGGGGATGTGGATGTTGATTCCTGTTCTCCTGCTTCGATAACATTGTCAGGAGACACATTGGGGAAAAAAAAAGATTCCAAACAAGCCAGTTTCTTCATTAACATAAAAACAAGCAGCTTCTTGACTACCCAAGGATATTTTTAGGAGGCCAGAGCATATGTACTGTGGATCAATCATAGCACATTCGGCAACTTGAGAAGAAACACGGCTATAAATACAGAGTTCACATCTTCCATCATTCATCTGCTTTTGCGTGTTAACCAATAGTGTCTCCCCCGTTATTCTTATCCCTGGGTGGGCTCCAGCCTGGAGACAGGGAGCTCAGAGCTGGCCTGAACCCCTCCTGGCCTATGGACCCTGCTCTTGCCCTTTGCCTGCGTGACCTTCTGGGATTTTGGGATTAAAGAAGTTGCAGTGAGCCACATTCCTGAGGGAGTCCTTCAAAGCACCCCATGCTCTGTCCTTCTGCTTTGGGCTGTCCAAAGGCACCCCTCACCTTGCTGTCCTGGGCATTTCAGCCTCAGGTCAGTGCCAGGGAACCAGGCGTAGCTGGGGCCACTCAGTGAAGACTTGCACAAAAATCTGTAGGATTTAAACCAACTTCAAACAGAAGAAGGAAGCTGAGAGGGTCCCCACACCAGCCCATCATCGTTTTTCACCTCTCCCTGTCTTTCACCTTTTGACCTTGTCCCTGCAGTGACTTGTCCTTGTCCCCTGGCCCGCCAGGTCGCCGTGACTCCTCGGGGATCCGGCTGTACTACACGGCCACCCTTCGTCCCTACGACGCTGGAATCATGGAGCTGGGCTTGGTGTACACCCCCGTGATGGCCATTCCCCCTGGAGAGGACAGCTTCATCCTCACGGGGTACTGCACTGATAAATGCACCCAGCTGGTGAGTGCTGTCCCCTCCGGCCCGGCTGCACCTCAGAGGAGAAAGGTTTTCCCTGGCTTTTCCCTGGCTCCAGGCAGCACCAACCCTCCCAGGCTGCCAAATTGAAGTTTTAAACTCACACTCGTTGAGGTAGCGCTGGAAACAAAAATCTGCTGTGTACAATAAACAGAGAGCAGCTGGTAGGGATGTGCTGAATCCTCCTGGAAGCAGCTCTCCTGGGGAGCCATCTGCTCCAGCTCCCTGGGGTACCATTCCCAAAAAACTCACTGCCGAGCTGGCCGTGGCCCAGTGGTGCTTTCCCTCACAGGGCTGGGAAAATTGGCTGCTGCTCCCGGGGAGCTTGCCAAGAGCTCCCTCAAAGCTGGTTCCAAAGGGCCCACCTTGCTGTCGCAGGGGAGTTTTGGTGTGTGTTTTTGTAGGGCCTACCCACGAGGAATCATTTGTGCCGCCACTAACCAGGGCAGGGAAGGAAGCGGGATCTGCCTCAGCTGCTCCTGCTGCCCTGGAGCCTTGGTCTGGCAGCAGTGAGGCTTTGTGAGGGTTTGTCCCTCTTCAAGGAGCTCCTGAGATGGGTTTGTTTGTCTGGCAGCAGTGAGGGTTTGTGAGGGTTTGTCCCTCTTCAAGAAACTCACTGAGATGTGTTGGTCTGGCAGCAGAGAGGGTTTGTCCCTCTGCAAGGAACTCACTGAGATGTGTTGGTCTGGCAGCAGTGAGGGTTTGTGAGGGTTTGTCCCTCTGCAAGGAGCTCCTGAGATGTGTTGGTCTGGCAGCAGTGAGGGTTTGTGAGGGTTTGTCCCTCTGCAAGGAGCTCATGAGATGTGTTTGTTGGTCTGGCAGCAGTGAGGGTTTGTCCCTCTGCAAGGAGCTCACTGAGATGTGTTTGTCTGGCAGCAGTGAGGGTTTGTCCCCCTGCAAGGAGCTCCTGAGATGTGTTGGTCTGGCAGCAGTGAGGGTTTGTGAGGGTTTTTCCCCCTGCAAGAAACTCACTGAGATGTGTTTGTCCGGCAGCAGTGAGGGTTTGTGAGGGTTTGTCCCCCTGCAAGGAGCTCACGAGATGTGTTTGTCTGGCAGCAGTGAGGGTTTGTCCCCCTGTAAGAGCTCCTGAGATGCTTTTCCAGGGGTACAGCCATCCCCTAAACCCCGTGTGAGAGCCAGAACAGGGACAGCGCTTTCCCAGCACACAGCCAGGGGATGTGAGGGAGAGGAGAGGGGAGAGGGCTCTCATGGGGGCTTGAGCTCTCCTTCCTTCCTTCTTTCCTCTCTTCCCCCAGGCTCTGCCCGCTGCTGGCATCCGCATCTTCGCCTCCCAGCTCCACACACACCTGGCAGGGAGGAAAGTGGTGACGGTGCTGGCCCGGGACGGGAGGGAGCGGCAGGTTGTGAACGCTGATGGCCACTACAGCCCTCACTTCCAGGTACTGGGGCTGCAGGGGGCACGGCTGGCTGTCACCCCTGGGCACAGTGCCACTGTGGCACTGCTCTGATGTGTCCCCTTCCCTCCCCTCCCAGGAGATCCGCATGCTGAAGGAGGTGGTCGCAGTTTTTCCGGTGAGTTGCTCCAAAAAGAAATGTTCCAAACAGCACATCCTGATCCCATGGCCCCACGTCCGTGCTTCCTTCCACCACCCCAATCCATCTGGGGACTCCCAGGGGGGCTGGAGCGAGGGTCCCTGGGTCATATGTGCCATCTCCAGGCAGATACTTTGGGGACAGCCAGGCCCCCTCTCATATGGCACAGAATTGGTGTGTGGGCAGCCAGGAGCTAAATGAGGCTCCTAATTTAGCTGGGCTTCGTCTGGCAGAGGGAGGCTCCTCAGGGGGTGAGGATGCACCATGGTGCTGCCCTCTGGCCTTGCTTGATGCAAAGAGAGGAAGAGATTCAGCATCAGAGTGGGAGTGGGTGAGAAAATAGGGTGGAACCGGCCCCAGGGTTCTTCAGATGGGGAAGGACCTGACTGCAAAGCTGGGGGCAGCTCCTGTGCCCCATGAGGCTGCTCAAAGCACTCAGCACCCGCTGGAACCGTGCCCAGGGCTGTCCCCGGGTCCTCAGCACTGACTGTGGCAGGTTGGCTGTTGTGCCACCAAGTCAGCTCCTGTTTTGGCATGTCTAACTCTTGCCTGAGTGCAATTTTAAGGTGTTTTCAACCCTGCAGAAATTCTTAAAAAAGCGAGGAAAACGGGAAACACCATCCCTGGGATGCAGCCCTGGGGAATCTCCGCAGGGGATGCAGTTTTAGCAAGGACTCCTGAGGGGTTGCAGGCTCCTGGTATGGGGAGCAGAGATTTCAATATGGAACACTCCCCAGTCCCTAAATTTTCCCGTGTTTGATCCCCCCAGGGAGATGAACTCATCACCACCTGCACATACAACACCGAGGATCGGAGCAGAGCCACCGTGGTGAGTGCAGGGGCAGCTCCCCTGCCTTTGGGGGCAACCCAGGGTGGGCTGGGGGCACCCCCAGAGTGGGCACCTGCATGAAGCCAGGCTGAATCACAGCCAGAAGCAAAGGCAGGGTGGGAAGAAGGGAACTCACAAGGCTCTGCTGCCTGCAGCGGGGATGTGAAGGTGCTAATTGTGAAGTAGCATGTGTCACTCTAATTCCCATCACAAACTGTTCCACCAGGGATTAATTGTAATTAAAGAGAAGTGGCATTTTTTGACAGTGCATGTTATTTCCTTACATAGGCAGTGGGAAAAAAAATATAAAAGAGCCTGTCAGAGGTACCATCAACAGGGACAAGGCTAAATATAGCAGAGGGATTATAGGAAATCTGCATTTTAATGTATACCACACGGTCTGGAAGTCTGTCCTTGCACAGAGGGCAGACAAGCAGAGAGCTGCCCATGCCATGCACCTGAAGGGGTGTGAATACCTATCTCCATCTATCTCTATCTCTGTCTTTATCTATCTAGAGATTCAGATACATATTTAGACAGAGATTTTAGCTATAGATCCATGTGAGTGTGCACCCAGAGGTGTGAGCTCTGTGCCCCCCTGCCCTCCCTGCCCCTGTGCAGCCCCAGCAGGGCACAGCCAGGCCCCGCTTCCATCACCCTCCTGCCTGTGCCACAGGGAGGGTTTGGCATCCTGGAAGAGATGTGTGTGAACTACGTGCACTACTACCCCCAGACCCAGCTGGAGCTGTGCAAAAGCGCTGTGGATCCGGGCTACCTGCACCGCTACTTCAACCTCGTCAACAGGTACAGAGTCCTGCACAGCGGGGCTGGGGGCACAGGGACCCAGGTACAGCAGCCAAACCCAGGGGTTTGAGCATGACTGTGTAGTGAGAGCCACCAGGAATCACAGAATCACAGAATAATGAGGTTGGAAGAGACCTCTAAGATCAAGTCCAACCCATGCCCTAACACCACAACCAGACTGTAGCATCAAGTGCCGTGTCCAGTCTTTTTTTAAACACATCCAGAGATGGTGATTCCACCACCTCGCTAGGAAGACAATTCCAGTATTTTATTATTCTTTCAGTGAAAAATTTTTCCTAATATCCAACCTAAACCTTCCCTGATGTAGCTGAGGCTGTGTCCTCCTGTTCTGTCAGTGCTGCCCAATGAAAGAGACTGACCCCACTTTTCTGCAACCTCCCCTCAGGGAGCTGTAGAGAGCAATAAGGTCACCCCTAAGCCTCCTCTTCTCCAAGCTAAACAACCCCAAATTCCTTCAAATGTTTATCACAGGGCTTGTGTTCCAAGCCCCTCAGCAGCCTTGTTGCCTCCTCTGTACGTGCTCAAGCATCTCAAGGTCCTTCCCAAACTGAGGGGCCAGAACTGGACACAGCACTCAAGATGTGGTCTCACCAGCACTGAGAACAGGGAAGAATGACCTCCCTGCTCCTGCTGGTCACACAAGGAAGGAAGGAAGGGAGGGAGGGACTTCTCAGCAAGAGTCAGTGTGTGGCTGAGTGCATAAATGCAAAATATTCCTTATAACCCGAGGCAGACTCCAAGGATCCACACCAGGGAGGAGGCTGCAGCCCATGCACCCATGAGGAGAGGGGAGATGCTGACCTTGCACAGGGTGTCCTACCCACAGGCTGGTCCCAAATGCTGCCCTGCAGGTTCTGGCTGCTCCAGGCTGTCCCTGTGCCCTCAGAGCCACTCCAGGTTCAGGCAGGGAGGAGCTGGTCACATCCAGCTCTGGAAGGGCACAGCACTGCTGTGCTCCAGCCTGGCCTTTCTCCTGCCCAGGTTTAACGACGAGGAGATCTGCATGTGCCCACAGGTGTCTGTCCCACAGCAGTTTTACTCCATCCCCTGGAACACGTTCAACAGGGATGTGCTGAAATCCCTCTACGGCTTTGCTCCCATCTCCATGCACTGCAACAAATCCTCCGCTGTCCGGTTCCCGGTAGGTACAGCCTCATTCCCAAAGCTTCCCTGCAGAATTCCCAGATGTAAGGTTGGGTCTGTGCTGCTCAGGACACATCCAAACCCAGCAGGCTCAGGGCAAGAGGCTGGAGCTGCCTGGAAATCCCTGGCATCAGCAGGACACGGAGCCCAGCCCAGCCCTGTGCTCAGACAATACATCAGGAGCCCACCATGGATGCTCCCAGCCAGATCCAATTAGGAGATGCATTTGCATAAAGTGATTTGGAGGCTGCTTTTGCTGACTGTTAAAGTAGGGCCAGATCCAAGGAGAAACGTGAGGTGGTTTTTAGGGTTTTGGCAAATCACCCCAGGTCCCAGCAGAGCGAGCTCATTACACACAGCATCTGTGCAGCTTCCAAATGTGGTGATCCAGCAAAACGTGAAGGATAAAGGACTGGGAGGGCTTTAAAATGAAACCAGGCCAAGAGATGAGGAACATGACGATGATGGTGGTGATTTAAAACCACTGCTGGCATCAGCTTCCAATGCCATTTTTCAGTGTAATAAATTTGGATGACATCTTGTGCCTGGATCCAGTGCTATCCACTGCAGCACAGGAGCGTGCTGAGCTGATTGCAGGGATGACCATCAGCTTTCTGCCACTGTATATTCCCTTTTGCAAAGTTTCACTCTGAAGTGGGCAGAAACCTTTCCAGTTTCCTGGGGCTGGACACCAGGCACCTCTCAGCCATGCAGAGCTTTGCTGCAGGGACAGAAGTGGGGCAGGAGTTTTGTGCAGCAGCAGAATTATGAATTCAACCTCTTAATTTATGACTCAGACAACTCCCTGGATTTCAGAGAGGTTTGGGGGCTGTCAGGAAGGGTCTCAAGCAGAGCAGAGCCAATGCTGGCACAAAGTGGGTCATAAGCATCACAGTGAGGGCGAAGGAGCCTCTGCTCCGCTGGTGTTTCAGAGCGAGCCCCACTTGGAGACATCTCATTTATTCCATGCTGTTTCTGCCAAGAGAAAAGCACCAGCTTCTAATTAAGCTCATGTTTTTGCAGTTCAGTGATCCCAAATCTGATGATTTCTGGAAGGAACTGAGTGCTGTTAATTACTGAGCCAAATCTCAAGGTAACACTTGTGAGCGGCAGTGGGGACCGTGCTGTCCCCAAGTTTCCCTGCACCCACAAGGGCTCACAGTAAACTCTGTTCAGATTCAACTCGAAAGTGCTGAAAACAACTATCAAGACACTCCACATGCCTTTGATCTCTCCAAAAAGCAGGCTCAGGGTTTGGGATGTATCAGCAGGGCAGATGCCACAGCAGATGGGCTCAGGGCTGGAGCCCAGCCCTGGAGCAGGAGCACCCTAAGGATGCTTAACTGCCCCCCTAAGCCATAAAGGCACAGGAAAGGAGTTGTTCCTCCAGCTGGTGCTCCCCTGCAGAGCTGTCCCCTCTCTGGTCACTCCCCATGAGCTTTGGAAAGCTCCCTCCATCCCACTCCATCTTTCCCCAGGGTTTTCCCAGTGCTGGTGCTAGCTCTGGCCCATTTTGCTTGACATACCAGGAAAAATTTCATCTGAAAACATAAATTCCACTTTCATCTCGCTGATGACTCACGGCTCTACCTCTCCTCTCCAGATCTCCCTCCTCCTGCTCCCGCTGTGGCTCAGCCTCTCGCTGACATTTCCGCACGAACGCGCAGCTGGCAGCCCAACAGAGCATCACCAGCCTGGAGCTGAGCCCCCCGTGCCCTCCCAGCCCTGCCCACCTCTCCAGGCCAGGCCAACATCACATCTCAGTTAGATCCTGCTCAGCAGGCTCAGCCCCGGGCACTGCCTGCCCCTGGCAGCTTGCTCTTTGCAGGGAGCATTCCCAAGACACGGTGTCACCATGGATGTACATTTGTCATGGTCACCGTGAGCCCTGATGGCTGTGACAGCCCTTCCATGGCACCTCAGCCAGGTTGCTGCATCCCTCTTGCTCCACAGACACATCCCTGCTGGAAATTCCTGCCAGCACCTGCTCAGGGAGCGTTTTCCAGAGCATGGTGGGCCTGTGGGACTCCCTGGTTTGAGCTGTCTCCACCTGACTTGGCAGGTAACACTTTTTGGGGTGGAAACTCCCCAGCTGGGGTGGATTTGAGGAACACCTCAGACGTCTGCACCGCTCAGGGGATGTGTAGGTGCTTCTGCACTAGGAATAATTAGTGATATCTCATGAGAAAACACCCTGCTTTGGGCTAAAAACCACATCAGACGTTGGCACTCGTGTCATTTCTCCGAGCAGGCAGAAACACCGAGCCTCCAACACCTTTTTGGGAAGGGCAAAGCATTTCCACTTGCCGTGCTCTCACATGTTACAGTACACTTGGGATATTCTTTTCCCCATTTCCAGGGATCCCTGTGACTCTGATCAGATAAGAGTGGTCCTTCCTTCCTGCTCTGATGGCGGAGAGCCAGAAAAGCCCTCCCTGTCCAGAGCCTAGATAAGGCCATGACCCTTCCTGTTCTCTCCCTCTCTTTCCCCCTCATCTCATGGAATAAAAAGCTGGACAACCACATTGGGGATAGAGACTTTTGAACTTTTGTCCATCTCCTGATGTTCCTCCCCTCAAGGCCTCATGTATCTGGGCTAGCCTAATAATTTGGGGGCTGAGAGAGCTAGGAGCATCTGGTGCTGACCTTGACCTCTCTTGCAGGGCGAGTGGGAGAAGCAGCCGCTCCCCAGCATCACCGAGAGGCTGCAGGAGCCCAGACCCCACTGCTCACCAGCCCCAGAGCCACAGCCTGCTGCCCCCGTGCCCCTGCAGCTGGGCCAGCTCCACAGCGACTGACACCAGCACGGAAAACACCTCCAGGCAGGAGCACCATCCATCCCTGGGCAACATCCCTGCCCACACAGCCATGCCAGCCCTGACCAACCCCTCCGGAGCGGGTGAGAGCTCAGCAGGCAGAGTTCACCAAGTGCTCCGGGGATGGGAAGAGTTATATTTAGTGCGTTATTAGCAATGCTGGCTCTGAGTAATGCTGCTTCCCACCCCCGCGATAATAACGGCGAGCTTTGCTATTGTGCGGCCCCAGGGAGGGCGGGAAGGAGCTTGTGTGCCCGCAGGGAAACTGAGGCACGGAGCAAAGGGATGTGTGGGAGCAGCACAAAAGCTTTGCCGGCGTCCCACGGTCCTGCCTAGCTCAGGATGGCTCTGCAGGTGCTCCCCCATGCTGGCAGCTGTGGCAGGGATGGAGGGATGGATGGATGGAAGGATGGATGGAAGGATGGAAGGAGGGGTGCCACAACACCCACCCAGCACTCCCCTCCCTCCCCTCCCTCCCCTCCCCACTCCTCCACACTCTCGATGCCACAAGATGCCAATGGCTGGGAACAAACGATACCTCCGGGATGGGGTTTGGAAAAGGGGAGGGGAGGAGGGGGAATGACAAATCTTTTGTCAGGAAAAATCGCTCCATTAAATATCTAAATGTAAAATAAATTGCTTTTTTGCTGTTGAGCTCTGAGTGGAGAACATTCAGGAGGAGAAGAGAGGATGGAGGTGCTTCAGGAGAGTCCATGTCCATCCCAGCTTGGTGCCCTGCCCTGGGACAGGTGGGATCCAGGCCAAGTGGCCCCCAGATTTCCTTCCCAGCCACCTTGGGTGTAAAATAAACCTCAGGTCAGAACACTGCACAACAGAAAAGGCTTTTTAAAGCAAAACCTGATCTTCCAGGCACAGAGTGGATGCCTGGCTTGGCAGGGAGACACAGTGCTCCTTCCCTCCAAACAGGACCACAGCCACCCCCCCTCCCCTGCCCTGTGCCTGCCAGAGGAAGGGCAGTCACCTCCTATTCAAGAGAAAAATTCATCTCAGTCTTGTTTTTTAATGTTTTCAGTACAACCAAAGCATTTCAGAGTTCACACTCTTGCCCGTGGCGCTCGTGGCACGAGGGGCAAGGAATTGAAATCATCTCTAAAGAGGGGATGACCCAAACAAACCTAGTCAAGGGAGGAAAAGGGAAGAGCAGGGAGTGAGATTATTTCTTCAGGGGGGTGAAAGCTTCAGCAGAGAACCCTGGAGGGGAACAGAGCAAGGGATGGTGATGGGGAGTTGCTGATCCTTCCCTTCGGTACAGGCTGCGTGTGTGTGAGGGCAAACCCTCCCTGCTGCCCCCCCTGCTGCCCCCAAGGCTGGCTCTGAGCTGCCAGAGGCTGCAGGGGTTGGAGCTCACAGCTCAGCCTCTGCCAGCACCCCCCTCTCTGCTGGGAGCTAAAAGGAGCCACCTCCAAGGTGACCTTTGGGAAGATGCCACAAGGGACCAGGGAGTTGCCAGCGGATGGGGCTGAGGGCAGCTGTGGGGCCAGTGCCCTCACTGGCCACCTTACACCACAGCCTGTGCCAGGAGCAGCCCAGAAAATGGTGGCTGCCCCATCCCTGGAAGTGCCCAAGGATAGACTGGATGGGGATCAGAGCAACTGGGACAGTGGAAGTGTCCCTGCCCATGGAACCCGTGGAATGAGATGGGCTTTGAGGTCACACACAGAATCACAGAATCATGAGGTTGGAAGGGACCTCTAAGATCATCAAGTCCAACCTATGCCCTAACACCTCAACCAGACCTTCCAGGCCAAGCTGTTCCGTGATTCCATGATTATGACACACAAACACAAACAGCCCTGGCAGAGAGGAGCCTGGACAATGTCCCTGCACTGCTGCCCCTTCCCTCCAGCAGAGTCCCCAGGACCCAGCCAGGATGAGGTGACACCCATGGCAGTGGGTGCAGACACAGAAAGGGACCAGAGGGACGGCAGCTTTGGAGGCTCCAGCTGTATGAACAGCAGAGCTAGTTTAAAAAAAATTCATTTCCAGGCAGCGTGAAACTACATTTGGAGGGAAAAGAGTTTCCAGCAAAGTCAAAAATTGAAACCACTTCATACCCAGTGTGACCAAACACCGTTTGCAGTCCAATTAACCCACGGGAAAGAATTATTGCTGCAGTGGCACCGCTTCACTTGGGAAACAGAGCACTTTGTACTTTTGGAATCTCTTCCTCCTCTCCTCTCTAATTCGACCCACGTTGACTGGGTGAGTTCCAGGAGGTTGCCCAGCTCTTGCAGCTGACCCCGGAGCCAGCAGGGACACATGGGGCCGGGAGTTCAGCCAGCAGCTCCTCTGCCCTCTGGGCAGCCCTCAGTAAAAGCCCTTCACGCGTTTGTTGTCGGGGTCGAACGGGGATTTGGTGTGAGCTCGGGCCGGGAAGGTCACTCCCATCCGCTCCAGCTCGTAGCTGCCACTCTTCACAAAATCCAGGGAAACCTGCGAGGCAGAGCCATGGAAAAACCCCTGTAGGGTGCCAGCATCCCAGTTCCATCCCTGGGCAAGCTCCCAGCCGCCCCACACATCTGCTCACTGCAGAAAACCCAGCTCTGCCATCCCCAGAGGATGTGGGGAAAGGAGGAAGAGAATTGTTAAAAGCACCCTGTTTAAAAAAAAAATACAGTGTTTGAAAATTTTAGGTTTCTTTTTTTTCCCCTGTGGAGGTATATGATGGAAAGGGAAAAGGAAAAGGGAAAAGAACAGAGATGGGAGAAGAGGGAGAGGGAGAGGGAGAGGGAGAGGGAGAGGGAGAGGGAGAGGGAGAGGGAGAGGGAGAGGGAGAGGGAAAAGGGACAAGGAAAATGGAGAGGGGAAAAGGAAGAGGAAGAGGGGAAAAGGAAAATAGAGAGGGGAAAAGGAAAAGAGAGAAGAAAAGGAGGAACATTCATCCCTGGGAAAAAAGGGTGTTCCCAGGGGTACCTGGCCCACAGAGCCACTTGCCTTGAGACTCTTGCAGGATGAAAAGCCAAGGCAAGCAAGAGCAGGAATCACAGCACACACACAGCTCTTGGTTGGCACAGAAAAGGTCCCTGGAGATGTCACCCCAACCTCTGTCCCCACAGCACGCTGCTTAATGAGGGCACCTGACTGATTATCCAGGAGTCTCCCAGGGTTAATTAAAATCTCACCCGCCTCCTATTGGCCACTGCTCCCTACAACATAAGTGAATTTGCTACTGCAATTAAATATTTGGTTGCAATTAACACCCGAGGCAGCACTTGAGCCGTGCACGCTCCTCTCACAGTGACAGTGGCAGTGCCACCACCTTTGGCACCAATCCCTCACCCTCCAGCCTGCACAGGGAAGCACGGGGGATCTGCTGTCCCATCTGCCAGCCCAGGGGACAGCAGAGGGTTTGTGCCACCCACCCGGGGGTCTGCACTCACCGGGCCCCCTGCAGGGTCTCGGATGTAGCCGTAGGCGATGGTTTTGTCGATGGCAAATCCAAAATCTGCCCGGCGGATGTGGCCGACTACCTCCCCGTCCCTCCAGACCGCCTCCAGGCCGAACATGGGCACCTTCCTGCAAGGCAAGGGCAGAGCTGCCACAGCACAGCCCCTCCGTGGGGAAACGGAACGTTTAAGGAATTTAGAGGTTTTAGAGGAGCTAAGATTTTAGTTAGAGATGAGCCTTACTAGAGTTAATTAAAATAAATGAGTAGGCCTTGATGAAGTTAGGAGTTTGTAGTTAAATAATAATTGATTGCTTGTCAGCACAATGTTTAGTTAGCTGGGTTTATAATGAAGAATACACAAACTGACAAAGAGCTTTTGGGAGCATAAGACAATTGTGGGCCTCCTCTATTCTGAAACCAACTGAAGACAAAGAATGGGAGTTCTACCAAGAGTTCATTTGTCATATTTGTATTGAAAAGGTAGAAAGGTCAGAACGAGGAAGACTTCATTTACTTCCTCATTTTGGGACCCCTCCCCATGGAAGGGACACCGACCCACTATAAGGAACAAACCACACATGCTGAATGGCTTTTGGAGTGATTAGCATAGGAAGCGGGGAATGGGATGTACCAAAATGATGTGGTACTCACTGCTGTGTGGTACTCACTGCTGTGTGGTACTCACTGCTGTGTGGTACTCACTCCTCCATGGTACTCACTGCTGTGTGGTACTCACTCCTCTGTGGTACTCACTCCTCCATGGTACTCACTGCTCTGTGATACTCACTGCTGTGTGGTACTCACTCCTCCATGGTACTCACTGCTGTGTGGTACTCACTCCTCTGTGGTACTCACTGTTCTGTGGTACTCACTGTTCTGTGGTACTCACTGCTCTGTGGTACTCACTGCTGTGTGGTACTCACTGTTCTGTGGTACTCACTGTTCTGTGGTACTCACTCCTGTGTGGTACTCACTCCTCTGTGGTAAAGCAGACGAGGCGGCGGAAGATGCCCTTGGCTTTCTGAGCCTCCACAGCCTCCCGGCCCAGGAAGGGGATGCTGGACTTGAGCTTGCAGGTGAAGGCCAGGCCCGCTTCTAGCGGGGTGTCATCGGGGCGCAGGTCTGCGTGCCAGTGCCTGTACCCTGCAGGGAGCAAGCAGGGCTCACCCACTGACCTGCACAGCAGCAGGACCAAACACCCCCTGCCCCCGGACACCCGCTGCCCTTCCCTCACTTGGATAAAACACCCGCAGAAGAGCCCACCCAGGGGAGTTCTCAGCCTTCTGAGACACCTCCAGCCACACTGACCCACCCTGAAGCTGAGGAAAAGCTCCTTGCCCTCATCCCCCCTCAGAGGAAAAGCAGAGAGTGCAGCTGAGAGGAGAAGGAGGACCTTTCTCGATGCTGAGGCTGTCGATGGCTCTGTAGCCGGCGTTGGCGATGCCATGCCGGGCTCCTGCCTGCATCACTGCCCGGTAAACCTTCACACAGTCAGCCCTGGGCACGTGCAGCTCCCAGCCCATCTCGCCCACAAACGACAACCTCATGGCCCGGACCTGCAAAGGCGAGAGGGCAAACATCCTGTGGCTGTGCAGGCTGGCAGAGGCCACACGCTGCCGTGCCAGGGGAAAAGCCAGCTTTGCCCGGGAGCCTTGCGGTGGAAGGCAGTTCTGTGCTCTCCTTTCTGGCACAAAGACAGGCTCAGAGTGGATTTCTAAGCCTGGCACTTCAACCCAGCTACCGTCAGTGCCAATGGACAGAGGTGGCTGCTGCAGCATCCTCTGGCTATGGACTCCAGGGCTGGGGTGAGATGTGATGCTCCAGCTCCAGCCAAGCTTTTGTCTCCCTCTGCTGATCCACTGAGACAGGGAAGATGGTCCCCAGCAGGACTGTTCTGCTTTTGGGGTGCTTCATCACTGCTGTCCCTTCCCCAGGGATGTTCCCTTCTTGGACCCCAAGGCTCCTGGGCAGGGGCTGAGCACGGTGTCCTGCCCCATATCCCACTCCCACCAGGAACTGCTCAGGGTTCCCCATGGAGGCTGTGTCCCAAAGCTCTGCTGTCACATTAGCAACACACCAAAAGCAAGCAGCTCCAAGGAGGAATGAGCAGATCAGCACAGGGGACTCGGTGCTTCTCCAGAGAAGCCTCATTCCCGGGGATGGAGCCTGGCTGCAGTCCCAGGGAACAGCCTGCCCTGCCTATGTTCCACCAGCTCCTCACCCA